TTGTATTTCTTTCCTTGATTTCAAAAAGATGTTTCGCGTGTCCCTGATTTGCTGCACGTTTTTGCAAGTAAATGTGAAACAAAAAGGTTGAAACCAGTAGTGTATCCAGCTTTTGGTGTTTGGGGGGGCCAAATTCAAACGCAAAAGCACTTTTGGGCTCACAGGAAAATGGGGGAGAAAAATACAGCCCATTTATTTGATAAATAAATATAGTGATTATTTTTTTTCTACTCACTTGTGAAGTAATCTCAGTTAAAAAAAAACAAACGAACAAAATTTATAAGTTTTCTTCAAGTCAAGGGGGGCAAGTTGCCCCGATGGATCCGCCACCGGTTGGAAGGGTGAATTGGGTGTTCCTGCGAGGGGAGGAGCTCAGGTTGAATCTATTGTCTCCGTTAGTTCTCGGCAGTTGCTTAGCTTGAACAAGTTCTCCATCATCCATGTTAAAACCATTGCTGTATCGATCTTGGTATAAATTTGCTTCTTTTGGCGCTGCAGAATGTACAGTACGCGTGCGTATGGAGACACTGAAAATGGTCATACTCTCTCCCTGTAAAATCGTGATGCCTATACGGGCGTGTCACAGTAGTGCGCCTCCTAGAGTTTGCGACGCGTTGGCCAATCACAGGGCGCAAAATCTGTCGATCTGTTGCGCGTTTGGAAAGGGTCCACAGATTTTGCGCACTGTAATTGGTCAACGCGTTGCAAACTTTTGGAGGCGAACTATTGTGAATCGCCCGGATTTAACGTACATATTTGATATTTGTGCATGACTTGAGCGAGATCCATGGTTCTATGAAGATATCAAGGATATACTGCCTCTCATTATTCACATCTGTTTACAATCTGATTGTAACAGTAACGGCACGGACCATGGCTGTCAACACCATGATGGGTCTGATGTGGAGAGCCAACAGCACACACAGATGCAGCGAGGTTTTCCCCCTCGGTAGTCGTCTTGACCGTGAAAGCAATCACGCTTGTCTGGACTTGCCGCTGGGGAAATATCTGGGCACGCCGTAGCTTGTTCGAAGTGACGAGAGAAATCAAGCGGATTCAAAGCATACTCATTAGAGTTAACGCGGGAGACCTGAGCACGCCAGCAAAACTGTGTAATTGACCCAATTTCAGCGGTCACGGCAACGATGACGAATCGCTTGAGAATTATAAATGAATTTACAGCCCTGAATTATTGGCTGCCGATTTGGAAAAGTGAAGCCGGCAAATAGGCCCATTGCATGCAGGACTCCTAAAGACTTCGAAGTGAGACAAACCACGCACATGTAATAATTTAAGCCATAACTGGAATCTTCAGGGTTAATGGTAGGTACGGCAATTGCTTTCCAGCTCGTGCAAACATGCACGGGAGATCTATATCCTTCCACATTTCACTTGGTATCAAATAAGCCTCCTTTCAGTCCTTGACGAGAAGTGTACGTGCCTGAACGGGTCATTTCAAGCTTCGTCATCACCTGCTTCTTAATGCACACCTCTCACAGAGTGGTTTATGAACGAAACGTCCTTCGTGAAAGTTTACTCGCATAGTAAGAACTTCAATGAAAAAGAGTGTAGCGAGTGTCGCTGTTTGTCGACGCGCATGAAGGGTATCTGCGGCCTTTTCAATCCACATAGCGTTAATGCCACTAATTACAACAATGCATTCGTTTCGCTGGTAACTGTGTGCCACTCTACACGCTGTACCAAAACATTCGATGTATCACGGCAACAAAAATTACTGTTCTTGTCGGTAGAACACAACAGGTTCTTTTTGTCACACCATACAGCAGGGTCATTCTGACAAGATTTTGACGAGATATATTTTTAGACTCACTGACAAAGGACATGATTATCACACCAAAAATAGGTGATTTGTTGGCTTCTTGCCATACTGACAAAAGCAAGCTCTTATGCATGTCACACTGGCAAGATTTATGGACAAGATTCCGTTAACAGCCGAGTTTTCACCTCGTGCGTACTGTTGTATCTATTGGAACCTACGACCCAACCTTGACTAGCTCAGTGGTGGAGTATCAAGACGTTTGAGCTGGACTTCCAATTCCATTATTTTGAATAATAACACAGGTCAAAACTTTCACGTGCGCATGACATTACGAGCGTACTAAATGTACATTACGTGGATGGGCACATCATTTAAACCCCAATCACGTGCACGTCAGTAGCTGTGACTTATATCCTTCTAAAAAGGCATTACATCTTGACCGTCCCGGCGTAGAACGGGCTAAACAGCGCCACCTGTCGCAATATCTTCAAAAGCATTTTTTTTCGTGTTTTTAGTTTTTAAAATAATTTTAACTGATTAGATAAGTCAAAAACACACAAAAGTTGTCTTCCAATATGCAACTACATCCTCAAAGAAAGAATGAAATAGTAGTATTTAGCCACTTTCGAGAAAAATGCATAATTGTTTATGAATATCTTCTATATAAACGTAAATGGCAGTCAAGACTTGTGAATTTAAAAGGACGGCCCCAGTCATGCGGATCTTTGAAGTGTTACTCTGAAAAATGAAACTGATTTTGTTATATCTCAGAGAAAAAATCAGATTTTAAACCTTACAGAAATTTCAGTATGTAGAGCTTGTTTTTTCTTAAAGGTCATGTATGAAGAAAACTAGTTCGTCAATACAAAACAAATAAACTGAAACTTATGAACAACACGTGTCGCGTGGTTGCGAGTTTTCTCGAGAAATGTCGAGAACAATCTAAAACACGCATGGAACCGAGATCGTACTTTTTTGATTTTGGTTTGTTTGTTTGTTTGTTTGTTTGTTTGTTTGTTGGGGTGTTTGTTTGTTTGTTTTGGTTTGTTTTGTTTTGCACTGCAGCCGCTCAAAGCTGCGCATTCCTGTTTAAACGGTCTGTGCTTCGGTCAAGAGAACAGTCACTAAGGCCGAATTTGTGAAACTGGGGGCCCATGTTCATCAGAATACTAACAATGCACGAAGAGTCGTGATAGCTGATCGTCTTGGAAACATGAAGGGTAATCCACATACTTCTGAAGAGCTAGCTTTTTCTCTCAACTCTCCGGTTTTATTTTAACGACCGGCTGAGTTTGATTATATTTATTCAAATTGATGACTTCTACACAGAAAAGAAAAAGAAAATGTGGGTCAGGAGATGAGTTGGATGAGTGTCTAGTCTGCCGAGAGTCATCAGGGTTAATTGGGTCGGTGTTGTGTTGCATACTTTCCAAACACGTCCACTTTCACCTTCTTCCGAAGGGAAAGACATTAATCCACTGTCCCAAAGCCAGGTGGATTGAATTGCATGTTACCAGGGCACGACAATAACATTAATTTTTTCTTACATTGGGATCATGGTTTATCTGCACTGCCCGTTCCTGCGACTGATAGATCCGAGAGGGAACTCGAAATCTGATGGGACGAAAGAACTGGTTTGGCACTCGAAACCTGTTTGGCAGCATTACATTATTTTTTTTAAACAGGCAGACGGACTCGCAGTAGGCCTAAAACATAATGACGTCACGCTTTGGCCACGTGCGGTTTCCTATGAGGGCTCGATGGATCTCGCCCCACCTCACTACCCTTTGCATGTTTGAAGTAGGGCCATAGGGCTATATATCATACTGGAGCGCTGAACCAGGTATGGAGTGATGCCTGCTGGGCGCATCCATGTTTGTGCACAAACCTATGGAAAACTCAAACTTTTGTACGGCTATTTGCATATCTGAGTCTGTATTCGTAAACGATACGTCATCAAAACCGATACGCACAAAAACTAACACACAATCAGTAAATGAGCGCCTCAATTTGCTCTACGCAAACAACGCCCGCGTGTGTGCGCACGCGTTGCACATACGCACCACGACTTTTTAAATCGGATTTTAGCAGTACCCGATGCGCGTTGCATTTAGAGTACATAATTCGATATTCATTCTTTCTGATTTCGAAGGTTATACAAGCACGCAAAAAAATGAGAAGTTAGCGCTCAAGGTGAAGCTCAAGGGGTATGGCGGACACAACAGGAGGGCGCTGTTTGGTTTGGTCGTATTCTTTTTTATTTCTTCCATAGTATGGAATTCTATATCTGCCGTCGTCCTTCGTCCGTCACGCGTCGTCCGTTGTCCGTTGTCGTCCGTCGCCTCTTACTTTTTCTTGTGCCCCAATTCTGCCATTTTCCAGTTCCATATATGCCATTTTCGTCGCCTGTCTCCTATCGTGCGTTGCGCCTGAGAATCCATCCAATTGTTTTTAGGGGAAAAACAATTTCCACAAAAATGTTTAGACTAACTTATCTGCAGTGCAATTCACTCTTGCCTACTGTAAAAATGTGCTGACTTGTTTTCATGAAATTCTAGAAAGAAATCTGTCAGCCGATACAGACGGTCCATTTTTCCCTCTCTCTTTCACTTTGAAATCCACAAATACCTGACAGCAAATTGTTTTTGGCAATTGTGCTCTGGATAAGTAACTGTTTATTGGATGTCAGAGGGCAATTGGGTACCCCTCTACAGCATCCTTTCTGAAGTGTATTGTAGTATCAATTTATGTACATGTATTTATTAAATGTTTTATTATCGTATGTGATTATTATGCTGATGAAAATCTTGACATCTTGAATTATCACTTGGTTTAATTTTCAGAAAATATTGGTTTTTGTGGGTATGTATGCCATGATGGATAGGCCAATGACCACAGGTAGTCCAGCATGTCAGCACTATTTATGGGGCTAACAAAGTAACATCACTGTAAGGTTTCTGTGTGTGTACGTGCAACTCAAGTCATGTCTGATTTGGAGTATACAGAAGATCACACCGTAGGTATACCCGCTAAAAGTGTTGGTACACAGGCTGATTCTCGTTCTAATAGCTTGTGCGTGTGACGTAGTCACTCAGTACTCTATATACACCGTGCATTTTGGGTATTATGCAGTTTGATCACGCGAAGGAGTCTTCAATACGTAATTGGTCAACAGAGGGCGTGTATTATGCCCATGATCACTAAAATGGCGGCGAGTTCAAGCAGTTTTGTGTATGTTGCTAGCTGAATGACAGGGCAATTGCCGAATTACCTGACGGAGTGGATGCAAATAATACGCAGAAGCAAATTCAGTATGTCGTGAGTAAACTAGAACTTACGTGAGGAACGGTGGTACAAGTTTAGACGAGGTAGAACTGCGATCCCTAGCAGAACTTGACCAGTACCTGTGGGGTTTTTACGGTGGGCTACGATAACGAAGAGACTGCGGCACATTGTACACTAAATAGCTAATGCGTGCAATTCAGTATGAGCTGCATCGTCATTTTCTAACATCCAGGGATATGGATATAACCAACCGTGGTACCTTCAAGGAGAGCAACAAGATCTACAAGGACACCAAGTTTGGAGAAGTCTATGTAATGGACCAAGAAGAAGCAGATGACAGAATGTATAACTGTAAGTACCTTAGGCCTATTTATATTCATATTTTATAAATGTTATCCTCCAATCATATGACAAAGATCTAATTAGATGTTATGTAAAACAAATAATGAATGTATTTCATTCTTGCAGTGGAAAGAATATTTCAATATTTCAAGATCCATTCAATGAGGCTCGTTGAATGGAACATTTCATCTTTCAATTCATGACAATATTCTTTCCATATTACACTCATAAACATTCATTATTGTTTATACCATTATGCAAGAACAACTTGGAACCTCGCAGACAGAACGCGTACACGTGATGGAAGCGGGTGCGCATTACATTGCAGCGTAATAAAACATCATGTTGCGCTGTTCTTGCGTAAACTTGGCATAGCATACAAGAATAGACCTGACACTTCTAGCTTTACTATATGATCTCTATGATTACTTCAAATTTATGCACCTCAAATAGCGCCCTCCTAGTGTGTCACCTGTGCTTTAAAAAGGAACATAGGGAAGCACACATGTGAACCAAGTATGATGTCATTACGCTGCAGGTTTATTGTTATTTTGCATGTGTTTAGGAGGAGGTATTGCTTGCTATCCATTCTTCAAACAACGGCTTCTCATGAATTTTTGGCGTTTGCCGTTTTTGGCGTATTGGACGTAAAGTGGTATTTATTCACATGCATATTTATTGTCTGCTGCCCTCATCGACCGATTTCAATATGTTTTTGCGAAGAGCTCAGGCGGAGACTAAAAAAGCACACAGAAAACGCCAATATTTGCTGATTAATGACATAAAAGAGGGGTTAATCCAACGTATTGTATATAATGCCGTTGAAAACTATCAAATAGAGTCAATTTTACCCTATATGGCGCACCCCCCTTTAAGTGGCGTACCGTCTGGTATAACTAAACTTGTTATAGAAAGAAATCATGCAGATTTTCTATTTTGCGACATTCGTAATCTCAATCAAAATATCAGCGGCACGTCGGCAGCGCAACATGCTGCCTCCCTCTAGGACTTCCCCTACAGATGAAAATCGGACAGTCCTTTAAAAAAGTTATTTTCCATTGCCACTCCTCCGAATCAAAATCGGATACTTCACCGATCATTGGGGCTAAAGAAAGAAAACGCTAGCAATTAGGATCAGTCGAGATTGTGGGTGAAACACCAAAGAAGATATTTCACGCAAGCCAGACAGCTTTGACCTATTACTCCTTATTTGCGCGCCAAACTACCGCCCTGTCTGTCAGCGAGGATTTCAGGTCAAATATTCGGCGCCTGCATGCGCTTCCGTTTTTGTCTTTCTTCCTTTTAACTTCGAAGTGGAGATATGTTATGGGGCCAAAATATTTCTTCGGGGAAAACGTGCTACACACCCCAGGTGGCCAGGAGAATCGGGGAGGACTGAAGCGACGTGGTTTAAAGGATCCACGCCGTAAAGTTTTTTCTTAAACTCGCTTGTTCTTTGCTTCTCTGTACTCTTCTTTTAGTTTAGGGAGTGGAGCGTTATGAAAAGTGGATTTTTTTAAACATTGAAAATTGTCCAAGCATTTCCATTCGAATGAAGGCGCTGTTGCTGGGATATTAATCAGGACTCGAGACAATAATCAGTTTCCATATTTTCATGTTCAAATTTTGAACCTCGAAAGATTTCTGAGGAAACTTTGCGCGCCTGCGTATTGAAATATACTTGCACAACGATAACTTGCCAATGAAGTTGAAGTTGCCAGCATCAAAATACTTTAAAAATAATAACAACAACAAAAACAGCATAATCATCATCATCATCATCAGCAGCAGCAGCAGCAGCAGCATCATCATCATCATCATCATCATCATCAGCAGCAGCAGCAGCAGCAGCAGCAGCAGCATCAGCATCATCAGCATCATTATCATCATCATCAGCAGCAGCAGCAGCAGCATCATCATCATCATCATCATCAGCAGCATCATCATCAGCAGCGTCAGCATCGTTATCATCATCAGCAGCATCAGCAGCATCAGCATCATTAATTCTATGCATAAATCAGTCATTATTTCAGGTTCATTGCCTGGGATGATATTGCAGTTTTATTTATGAAAATGCAAATTTGAAATAACTTGAAAACAAGTCAGGCTCCAAAACACAAAAAATTGAAATAGCAAAACAAAATCTGTAACATTTTTTATACACGTCGCATGTAGACCAGAGCATTTAAATGAGGGTTCAAACAATTTGAAGTCAACTTTATAAGGGCCAAAATGAATTTGCTTGTCACGATGCCCTCGTTTAGGTAAACGATCAGAAGCTTTTTTATCCAAATACTGAGATGAGATAACCAATGTAAGTGCAAGTTCCGAGGCTCTCTAGGAAACGATCCCATAATGACTCTCTGTTGGGTGATCTAATTTTCTGGTCAGCTGATTTCCATCTACGCACCCTAACCTCTTTCTTATACAAGAAGACAGCAGTGATTTGGCACCAGTCCGGAACAGGAAATTAAAAAGCCAAATATTTCCAAAGAGATCAGTGTGGCTTGCACAAGCGATTACGTTAACCTCCATTATTGCCTGAATTAATTCAATTGCGTACTTCGAGTTAGGCCTCTATCCCGTTTTCACTGCGACTGTTCCATGGACCTATAATTTAAAATAATGGACAGTGGTCCTCTGTCGTTTGCATCTTTTGAGAAAACCTTATAAAAGGGGGGTTGTTGGTAAACCTATTATTGACGTATCTGTGTAAAGAAGCGGAAAGTCGTGGCATTCGTTGTCGGATCCCACAACATGAGTTTTGAAGCCACATTTCAGTTATTTCGTTATATGGTAAACACAAAACAGAACAGAGCTTTTAGTTTTGATGTATCACTCGGGCTAGCATCCCCGATGAAATTAGTTTGTGTTTGGAAATGTCGGAATTTCATGTGAGAGTTGTAACGACTCAAGTCATTGACTTGACCTGAGTCCGACTCAAGTCCTAATATTTGACGGCTCGAATTGAGTCTCGATGGGTAAATGACTCGACTCAACTGGACTCGAGTCACTGCGAGCAAATGACTTGATTTGACTCGAGTCCCTGATCAGAAGACCTGGCTCGAGTAAAAGATAACACAACTCAAGTCCAAAAAATAAAAGTAAACGTCTTGGCAAAAAAAATTTCAAGTGATTTAAAGAGCCGGTTTTTAATATTCATGTCATGTATTATTATCCTCAAGAGTGACATGTGGCGTGACCAAATGTAGAAACCCAGAAATAGAAACTTTTTAAATGCCAAAAAATGACTTTCTCTCAGGTTTTTATTTGTTTTTTATTGTGTTCAAGTATTCGTGACTCAACTTGACTAGAGCTAAAAACTAGACTCAATTCGACTCGCCTTTTTGCCTAATAACTCGACTCGACTAAAATCACTAGGCTACGACTCGATTCAACTTGAGTCCAAAAATTAGTGACTCGTCACAAACCTGGTTCCTGTTCATGTATATCGTACAAAATTCTTTCAAAGGCCTCAGCTATAGAAACCGGCTCATGCCATTAATCTTTTCTATTATATTGGTTCACATTGAGGATTCGAAGAGTCCAAATTTCACCACTTCCTTTTTTGTTTTTAAATAAAACATAAGCCTTGAGCTTTTGAATTGCCACGTAAATACGTCTACCCTGATAAATCTCAAGATTGCCCACATTTAAAGGCGGATCTCAGATTTTAGTTGTATTAGAATGTGTGAGGCCTAAAACAGTCGTTTATACATCGCCAAGCGCATGAGAGCGTGCGTGCAGCGCTACTCCCTGCGCAGATAGATCAAGGATAAAGCCAAACGTGTATGTATAATGAAGTTTACCGCGCGGTATATCGCGTTCCCCTTGCGTGACTGATAATCAGCCACCGACATAGAAAATAACCCAATCAGAAGGAAAGACAAATCAAGACGTAAATGTAAACATGCTGGTGTACTGCTGTTCAAGTCGGCTGAACTGTAATTGAAAAACAAACAAAAAAGCGAGAATTTCATTAAGGCCATTTTTTCAAGGTTTTTACTGATTGCTCTCTTGGAATGTTCTCATCCATTCCCAACAAATAACACTTTGTGCCAGCCACAGATTGAATTGATCTGATGGAGATCTATATCCCCCCATTAAGGTGGCGGGCTGTTATGATTTACGTGACCACCGTGTCTCCCTGTAGAATGTCCCGGGGACTTGGTGAGACCTGGCCCGGGTCGCCATTAACCGGTCGCCCTTCCTCTTCCGTTACCTCCCAGGTATTAATCCCTACGGCTTTTGGCAGTTCGAAGGATGGATATCGACCAGATGATAATGGACCCAAACAACACCAAGGGGCAAATTGTGCATCGGGCTTTCACTTAAGTTAAGAGTCTTGCCGTTAAAACATTCCACTTTAATACATTTTTTTCTTCCTTTTCCCGAGCTTTGATGTAGGAGTGATTAAGGCTAAAGCTCTGCCCCCAAGTGCCCATTGGCGTTTTACTCTACCGACGACGTATTGGCAAGTGGTTAAATTTCGCTTTTGGTAGAAGACAGCGAAGGGCGTTGCCTTCGAGGACGTGTAGACCGATGTTTTCAGGGGGAGGACAATAAATTTGGGATGTGGCTTTTCTGAGGGGCTTTTCACAAGTTTTGGGGGAGAATCGGCAATCATGAAATAAAATCTTTGGAAGGCGGTATGGCCCCCGTTGGGTCCCCTTCCTCCCCCCGCCACTGGCCGCTTGTCACTGCCAAAAATGGTGAGGGCGCACCGACGTCAAGTTGATAAATCATGAGAACTTGACAAGTCAAGTTTTAGAGTTGCCAAAGGCTGAGGGAGAGTTCATGATCACTCCTAAAACACTTGAGCTCATTGTATTACCAAAAATAATCAGGAGATTGACCAGTTGCACAGTGCACACCGTTGACGTTTTCATGTTGAAGCATTTACAGTTGCTATTTTAATCCAGTTCCCTCTTTTACTCTACGAGCACAGTCCGACTTCGATCAAGTAGAGCCCATTCACGCATGTAAATGTATGCCCCATTTCTGGATTTTCTTGTGCTCACAAGTGAACAGGAAAGAGCCGAGCCGACTGCTTGGTTCCCTCCCATATACGTTGCTATGTAGACAATTAGGCGACAGAGGAACTGCAAACGGTCTACCCTCCTCCCCCGGTATGCATGGAACAAGCTGGGATTATACATGCGATGCGCCTAAAAGTGAAGTACATGTCAGCCTGTGGTGGGGCCCCACACCCCATGTCAAGTTGTGGTTGGGTAACAGAGCGCCCTCTCTCGCTCAAGCGGTGCGCATGTACGGAGCGAGAGTTTCGAGGACTGAAGAGGGGGTACGATTCACTTTGGGTTTGTTTGCACGAGAAATCATGAAACTTGTGATTTATTGCTAAAGAATGTATGTAGACTGAGCAAATTTGTTGCGATCTGAAGAAAATTGCGCTGGACCAGAATTTAGTGCATGTGTGTGTGCGTTGATGAAGTACATGTGGGTGTACGTACGCGTGTGCACACATAAATCATGCCGACCATCAATCGACAGGGAGCCAAAATCGAAATTGATAAAACTAATAGACAATTCACAATAGCTTAAACATAACATGATAAGCTTTGTTAAGCAAGTGTGGAAAAACCAGGAGAACAATTCAAAATTTAGATTTTAAAATACCCTTTTTTACGATTGGAAATTTAACGTACACAGACATCTTTCACCTCATTTTGTCCGAAATGTTACTTATGATTAACAACAAACACATCACAAAACGAAATATGAAGCTCAGTGATTATATTTCTCTGGTATAAAGTCAGCGCACTGACAATACGTAAGATCTTCACAGATGGATTTTGGTATTGTTTGTTGTCGCCATGTTAAGAAATCAAACAGAAAGTTACCACGACTTTGCTGAATTATAGCACATTGCGCACAAACTAAGTGGAAGGGGTGAACATTCGTGCCCCCCAGGGTATATATGTAAAATCATGTTGAAATTGGACGATTTGGGAGTGTTAGGGCTATGAGATGCAAGCTAATAAAAGATACACATCTGTACAATGTAAAGCGCCCTCTAATGCAGTCGGTGTCCACCCCATTCGAATTTCCACAGCTGGGTCAAAATAGGATTTGACCAAACCCCTTTCCCACGAGGCAGCAAGGCGAATCCACGCTATTACCGTAGACATAGAACTACATGTAGAGAGAATAGTGCCAACTTCAGACTTTGGAGCTGAAATGGCTGTTCTGTGTGTGCAGCAATTGTGTATTAATTGTCCATATGCACTGACGCATGGTCCACTATATTGGTCCCAACATTTGAGACACCCATGTCACAACTCTAGCTCTGTCTGTAAACCACAGAATATAAAAAGGATAGATCGCCAGTCTTGGGCATACAACTGCGATTTTGAAAGGGGCAAAACGATGGATGGCAGCACGTTCAGTGCACATTTCGCGCAACACACTGCAAGTGCCTGTATTTGTTTACATGTCCCGAAATACGTTCATTTTTTTTGCTCTTTGGTACTGCTGTCTCTTATTTTTAAATGTTGCAAACACATCGTTTTGCATCTACATGGGCCAGATGAAGTAAACTGAGGATTTTTTCCAATCGAAAAACGGCTTCAGAATTTTGGGGCTGGAATTCTGCAACTCTGCGTAAATTCCGTTTACCGGGGACGATTTTGCCCATAATTTCGATTTTAGTCAGGAGCCGCGCATGTCACGGAATACTCCAGTAGTTTGAATAGGATCTGGTGGTCTATGCGTTTATATGTCTGAGCTATAAACAGCTCTGCTCGAACATTAATTAACACTTCCACCAAGCGACTGCCGGGTATTTGCGTCAAAATTTCGACAGAGGGCGCTCTTGGCGAATATTGGCCACCATTTGGCGTATTCATTTATAGAAGTTTCTTTTGCGGAGTCACCGTCACGGTCTTTCACTGGCAAACAACGGCTGGTATAGTCAGTGCCTTGTTTGGGCGGCCCAATTAAGATTTACAGGAAAAGGTAAAGTGAATTAAGAGAGCAAAAATTACCTGTAATGAGTGTTTCCTTGACCTTGTTTTTAAGAATGAATCTAAAAATGAACGGGGTATACATGGAGTTTTCCCTCTAAAATTGATCTGTGATATTTGTTTAAAAAAGTCTATTGTTTACTTCGGCACACTGCGGTGATATCATACTGGAAAGGTGATGTGAACGGAATACATGTCTCGTCAGCCAAAAGGATGCCGTAACTGGCCAATGCATCTGCCCATCAAGTGTTAAGAACGCCCACGGGGGTGTGGTACCAACGCAGATGTGGCGTCTCCTCACTTCGAAGTATACCCAAAATCTCGGTTGTCTTACAAACGACCGTTTGGAAGTTGTGCATGTACATAGAAACAGTCATTAACGTTGATTAAATTCCAGTCTAATCCAAAGTACCGTCACTGTAGAGTATTGTTGGTGTGGTCCATTATAATTCACACGCTCATCATCCTTAGGCCTACCTATCCGTGTATTGAGAACAGCCAAATAAAAACACTAAT